CTGCTCGCAGTGCTGCTCCTACTTCAATACAATATGTCAGGTTGGCATTGCCTAATTTCCACAAGCACGTCACTGGACCTTTTTCTTGTAGCCTTAATTTGAAAGCTACACAGAAACATGTCTACATTGGGAAATACTGCTAACATTTGAAATAGTAACGTCATAGTTTTGAGCATAAAAACGATTTTATGACAAAATGACGGGGTTGGGTGGGGGAAGAATATATAAGATTTTAATATATGTAAACTGACGGGCATTCCAGAAAGAATGCTGGTAATCATACTAAAGCAGAAACATACAGGGTCTGCTCTTTCATTAACTACTTATACAAACTATTTTCTTTTATAATGCAATTTAATCAAGACATTTAAGTTTTATTCTCTTTCCTGAGTCCAATGGAATGTTAATTTTAGAGTAGACTCACATAATAGATGAAATTACTGCCTTATAAATGGTGAATTCCTCCATCCTATGAAATTCATGGCCTCTTGTTTTCGACAATCATAATTTATCCAACAATATCTAGAATCTCCTGAATTATGCTCCTAATTTCAAAGCAAAATGACTTAGAAGGTTCTCAACTATTGCAATAATTGAAGGAAATATTTGGTTGGGTTTTTTTGGGGGCGAGGGAGGCAGTTTTTTATTTTCAGGGTGGGCAGTATTTTATATTTTGCTTTTTATTTGGCTCACACTCAGGAGTCTACTACTCAGTACTAATAATAACAATATGTAAAAAGAATTCTTTATTAAATTAATTTCTATTCTAACTATCCTTTTAATTAAGGTGAGTGTCTCTGATTGTATATGAGTAGTCTTTCTTGAGATAAGAATCAATGTGTGGAGTTACAATTAACTCACAGCAACTCACACAGGGGGATAAAAACCTAGTTTATCTTCATCATAAACCATAAAGCCCACATGGAAGAAGCACACCAGCCTATGCAACCACGAGGTGTCGAAGGGATCAGGTATAAGGCATCATCAGAACAAAAAAATCTTACCATAGTGAATGATGGGGGGAGTGCGGAGTGGAGACCCAAAGCCCATGAATAGGCCACTGGAGATCCCCTTGCAGAGGGGTCTCGGGGAGATGAGCCAGTCAGGGTGCGATGTAACAACGATGAAAAATACAACTTTCCTCTAGTTCCTAAATGTTTCCTCCCTGCTCCCACTATCATGACACGAATTCTACCTTGCAAGTCTGGCTAGACCAGAGGATGTACACTGGTACAGATGGGAACTGCAAACACAGGGAATCCAGGGCGGATGATCCCTACAGGACCAGCGGTGTGAGTGGCGATACTGGGAGGGTAGAGAGAGAGTGGGTAGGAAAGAGGGAACCGATTACAAGGAACTATATGTGACCTCCTCCCTGGGGGACAGACAACAGAAAAGTGGGTGAAGGGAGACATTGGACCGGGTAAGATATGACAAAATAATAATTTATAAATTATCAAGGGCTCATGAGGGAGGGGGAAATGGGGAGGGAGGGGAAAAATAAGGACCTAATGCTGGGGGCTTAAGTGGGGAGGAAATGTTTTGAGAATGATGAGGGCAATGAATGTACAAATGTGCTTTACACAATTGATGTATGTATGGATTGTGATAAGAGTTGTATGAGCCCCTAATAAAATGATTTAAACAAAACCCCACTAACTCACTGTCTTTGAGTTATTCTAACTAATCGCAACCCTCTAGGACAGGGTAGAACTCCCTGCCCCTGTGGATTTCTGAGCCTGTAAATCTTTACAGGAGTAGAAAGCCTCTTTGCCCCACGGAGCGGCTGGTGGATTTGAACCACCAACCTTGTGGTTAGCAGCCTATTTCATCACCAGAGCTCCTATCATAAACTCCTGGGTGTCAGAAATGTGCATGTCCTCCCCCATAAGTTTGTGATGGAAAAGTTGAGAATTGCTCTGCTAAATACAAAAGTTTTGAGCAGCATAAAAGAGTGGATACTAAGTTATACTCATTTTCTTTTTATGCCAGTCAGAAGAAAAGTATTTCAAACAGCTTGAGTTGCAGCAGACAGTAGGCTTATCTATTATGTTTCACATAATAAATATGTAGAATACATGGAGTATATTCTTCAGCTATCTACATATATTTAAATTACTTTCTGCAAACTAAAGTCACTTTCTGCAAACTCTGCAAAATAGTTCAAATACTTCATTTAATTACTTGATTTGATGTGACGTGAAAGAGAATTTCATAGAAACAGATATATTTTACTGAACACACAATAGAACCAAAAAACTGACTAGAGGTGTTATCTCAGTGTGTGGGAAAACTTAGAACGATAATCGTATCCTTCATCAATGTGTTATCCAAAAGAAGATGTACTGAAATTGATTATAAAAAGTAATTCTTATTTTACTTGTGAGCAAGATTTCCACTGAGTTTTACTTGTTGACAAAACTACTTATACTGAATGTATAAACTCTTAATAGAAGAACTATTTGGATGTAAGAATAGTAAACTATAGCATTTTCTTACTCCGATTCAGAAATTATATTTTCTCATTTCAATCTGTATATTATTCGAAAGTGATGAGCTCTGTATATTTGCTATGTGAGACATTTTATCTGTTTTGGAAGCATGCATGGGTGCCAATACTTAAGAAAAGGTTCCATATAATCATTAACTAAAAATATTGTTTCAGTGCTTGTTAAGTGCACTTTCCTTTTTGGATACAGGAGATTACCGAGAGTTAAAAATAAACAGCCCAGGAGTCAGTTAGAAAAATGAAAGACTTTTCAATCCAAGGAGCCGTGTTGTCATAGAAGTGAAGCAGAAGAATTGGAAGGGTGATCAGAGAGCATTGTAAAAGATAAAAATTTTAAATTTGATGAAACAAACAAGAATTTGGCAGCTATACAAATGGAGGAAATGCCTTCTAGAGCGAGTACAACATGGGCCAGAGAGTGGAGCCCGAAAGAGCTTAGTGTGTTTATAGAGCGGTTAGCAATGATGGGTGACTGGAATTCAGGAAGAGTCTGAAGGGCGTTGGGCTAGAAAAGTTGACTTGCAAGTAAAATGTAAGAGCATCTACTACTCAGTAGACACTGCAAAGTTGGACCCAGAAGGGATGGGACTTTATTTTGCTTTTATAAAGACTACCTCAGTTGCAATGGCAAGGATGAAAAAGACTTTGATGATAAAAGTGATACCAAATTAATAAATGCTAGTGACCTTAAGGTGCTGATGGAATCCAAATGCCTATAAGACTGTTGGTGTTGTCTTGTGTTGTGCTTATGTGTAGTAGCCACATGGAAAAGTGATTCTTCAGTTCACATTAAATGTTCAAGCTAATTATTTTACATTAAGGAATTCAATCTAGAAATCCTAAGAAGTACATATTCTGAGAACATTTTTCAGACAAAGATTCTTAGATTGGAACACGTTCTAGCTTCATATTTTGTTCTCTTGGAAGTAGGACATGTGGCTCCCTTTGTGGTAATATTTATCATTCTAGAAATTCTAAACAATCCAAATGTCAAGCTATATTAGCATGGATAGATGAATGATAAGATAGTCATACAAAGAGTAAGCATTAAAATTTTAAGCACATTAATTATATGAGAAATGTGTATAGTATAATGACACATAAAAAGGGAAACAGGAAAATTTAAACTAAATTAGGTACTCAATAAAATGCAGAAGAACAAGAGGAAGAAGAAGGAAAAGGTAGGAGAAAAAGAAAGAGTTTGATTTGGGGTCTCACAAAGTGGAGAATCAAAAAAAATTTAAAATATGTATCTCTACTGTTTATTTTGAGTCAGAATTGACTAAATGCCAGGGAGTTTGGTTTGATTTGGGAGTTTTTTATTTGTTTGTTGGTTGAGAGTTTTTAGCCGTCAGAGGCCATTTTAATGTGTTCTTTACATTAATCTGACATTTATGGTTACTATTAGACATAGGTTTACTTCTGTAATCAGCCAACAAAGGAATGCATTTCCCCCCAATAAATTTAGTGATTTTAGTGACATCGTGCAAGCTGTAGTCACATTGCAATGGCGAGAGACAAAGAGCTAGCATTTGCTGGTGACCTGTATTTCCCTGTGTTTCATTGACTAGACAAAGGCATTTAGTTGTGTCGATCAGAACAAATGATGGATAACATTTCAAAGAATAAGAATTTTATAACATTTCATTGTGCTGATGTCCAAGGGGTACTGTGTGGTTTGAAATCAGGAAAGGTGTGCATGGGGGTTGTATCCTTTCACCGTAATTATTCAATCTGTAGGCTGAGCAAATAACCTGAGAAATGCAACTGTATGAAGAAGGACGGCCCTCAGGAACACAATGATTACCAACCTGTAGTATGCAGATGACACAACCATGCTTGCAGAGAAGCCATGAGGACCGAAGCACTTACTGATGAGTACACCTCAACAAACAGAAAGCTGTGTTGCCACACATATTAGTATCACCATGTCAATCAAATAATTTTCAAACCCATTTTACCATCAACACTTTGATGACTGATTGACGGTCAGAGTGAGATTAATGTTCTGAACAACGCAGTTTGGGATACGTTGCTCTGACATACATTGCTTACTGTGTTGAATTCGAGCAGTCTGCTTTTGCTCAAGCTATTGGAAACCCTGTAGAAATGTGTGGGAGGAAAGTACCTATTTCTTCTACTAACTTCAGATAGTCACACTTCTATAAAAGGCAGCACACAGATTTTAATTTTAAATCATTGGAACAGGGCAAAGATGGGGAATGTAGAAGTACTAAGTCACCATCATGTGAATTGTCTGTTGTTGGAAAAACATATAGTTTGCATTAGCAGTTGTTAACTTCCATTCCAAAAATGACCGATCAGAAAGTGTATTCTGTTGTTGATTCACTTTTTCTTATCTCTCTTGGAGGCTTAGATTTGTTTACTTGTGCTGTGTGTGTGTGTGTGTGTGTGTGTGTGTGTTGAGGAGAAAGAAGAGTGAACTTATCATTTTTGAAAGTGGTTTATCCTAAAAGTGTAAAAAGTTTAGAATAAAACAACTTCCTCAAGGTTACTTCGAGGATCTGGAGTGTTAGCTGCTCAGACCCTGAGGGCCCGTGGCCCCAATGGGGTAGCCACCATGCGCAGGATGGTGAGTGGAGGCAGCATCCCTACGGATGAAGAGCAGATGATGGGGCTGGAGAGCAAGGTCAGGATGGCCACACGCCAAGGGCCCGATCCATGCAATATGCTTGTCCTGATGGCAGCCGCAGGCACCAAAGAGGACCCTAATTTAGTCCCCTCCATCACCAACAAGCGACCTGTGGGCTGCATCTGTGAAGAGGACAACAGTGCTATCATCTGGTTTGGGCTGCACAAAGGTGATGCTCAGCGATGCCCTAACTGTGGAACCCATTACAAGCTGGTGCCCCACCAGTTAGCCCACTGAGCCCATGCACTGACTCATGCTAAAGGTTTTCTTCTCTTCAGTAAAGACTAGCCATTGCATTGGATCCTTCTCCAACAAACAAACAAACAAACAAACAAACTTCCTCGTGTCCAACCTCACAGAGTTTACTATATGCGTTAAACCTGTCTATGTTCACCAGGAAGAGTTTGAATGTGTACCATGACTTCTACTGTCAATGGCATACTAGATAAGCAAGGGTATAAAGTGAGTAAAGGAACAATCAATAAGATATGAATTTAGCATATCTGACACTTTACCCTTACACTGAATATTGTGATTTTGTTGCTTTGTTGGGTGCTGTCAAGCCAGTTCTACTTTATTGCAACTCTACACCCAAGAGAACAACATGCTGCCTGGTCCTGCACCATTCTCACCATCATTGGTCTATTTGTGCCCATGGTTGCAGCCACCGTGTCAATCCATCTCCTTTATGGTGGTGTTGTTGTTGCTGTTGCTCTTGCTGGGTGCCATGGAGTCGATACAACATAACGCAATACTACAGGGTCCTATACCATCCTGGCGATTACTCCTACGCCTGAGCCCATCATGACCGCCACACTGTCAGTCCATCTCATCTCATGAGGGCCTTCCAATTTTCGCTTCCCTTCCACTTTACCAAGTAAAATGTCTTTCTCCAGCAATTAGTCTCTCCTGTTAATATGTTCAAAGTATGTAAGGCAAAGTCTAGTTGCTAAGGAGAACTCTGGCCATACTTCTTCCAAAACAGATCAGTTGGTCCAGTTCGCGAGTCCATGGTGTTTCCAATACTCTTCTCAGCACCATAATTCAAAGGCATCCATTCATCTCCGGTCTCCTTTTTCAATGGCCACCTTTCATGTGCATAGGAGGCAATGGAGGATACCTTGGCTTGGGTCAGACACACCTTAGTCCCCATAGTAACATCCTTGCTTTTCAATACTCTAAAGGGGTCTTATGCAGCAGATGTATCTAATGGAATACATCTTTTGATCTCTCCACTGCTGCTTCCAAGCACAATGATTGTGGATCTAAGCAAGACAAAAATCCTTGACAACTTCAACTCTGTTTATCAAGTCTGGGTTACAACTAGAGGATAGAAAGAGGAATTTTTTTCAAAGATGTTGAAAGTGAGATTTTAATGTTAATTTCTTCCCAGGTAGGTACAGCCTCATATCTTTCAAGGGCTTCTAAACACATGAATAAAAATGCCATCAACATTTCCATCTCCTTGGGTTTGACACGTGAATTTTCTGCTCTGCTATAATACAAAATAGTTAACTCATCCTAGAATGGGTTATCCATCCCAACCTCTGATTAATAAATAAATTAATACTGTTAAAATAAGCAATATAGTAGTGTATTTTCCACAAATGATGATTAGTTTTATGACTAGAGATTTGCCCCTTTCAGGAAAATACTATATCAATTTAGCACTAGCCATTAGAGATGTGTATTTGAAAGGTACAATGTTACCACTTACTTTCATTATTGGAGTTATAGGAATATAATTTCTATGAATTCAAGTATCTGGAATTAAGATGATAAAAATTGAAAGAATTTTTTTTGAAATTTCGGTATATTTAGATAACTATAAATGGCTAAACTTCTGTTAAGAAATACTGTTAAAAAGAAACCCAAATAAAAAGAAACCCAAAATAACAGGATCTAACAAAATAATAGATCCTGGATGCTGATCTTAAATCTAGAGAATGGCATCCCACTCCAATGATTTCAAATTAGGATTAACATCCCAGCCCTCAAAAGACTAATTCAGGCCACCTATTCCCTATTTACTTTGTTTTTAATGCAGTACATATGCAATACTTGTAGAAAGAGTACATTTTAAATAAATCAGATTGAGTAAATAACTTATTGTCTTCATACAGCTTCTTAATGATATTTTCAATTGCCTCATATGCAGAAGTTGGATAATAAATAAGGAAGAATTCATGCATTTTCATCACGGTGCTGGCAAAGGATATTGAAAGTACCATGGACTGCCAGAAGAATAGAGAGATCTGTCTTGGAAAAAGTATGGTCAGAATGCTCCTTAGCGTCAAGGATGCCGAAACTTCATCTCCTGTACTTTGAGCGTGTTATCAGGACAGGCCTGGGAAAGGACATCACGCTTGGGAAAGTAGAAGAGAAATTACAAAGAGGATAGCCCTTGAAAAGATGGATTCACTCACTGGCTGTGAAAATGGGCTCAAGTATATGAGCGATGGTGAGGATGGTGCAAGGCCAGGTTTTCATGGGGTCTCTATAGTTGGAAATACTCCAGGCACAAGTTAGTGGAGGAGGGTGATCCAATACCTTGAAAAGCCTTAAAGTTTGAAGGACTTATTCTGAGAACCCAGGTACTAATCACTAGGGTGGCTTTGAATTGGCACCCAAGCCTCTAGTGCTGACCGGAAGTAACCTAAGATTTCACAGAGCTGCTGAACCTCAGGAAGCCCTGGGCGGTGCAGATGGTTAATGCACCCAACTGCTAGCTGAAAGGGTGAGGTTCAATTCCACCCAGAAGCACTTCAGAAGGAAGGCCTGGCAATCCAAGTAAACAAAAAAATGTTCACAAAGAAAGTGTGCACGCAGCATGGAAGAGCCTGTAGCACGCCATGCTACCCTCACACGTGCAGGGGTCACCACGAATGAGAGTCAACTTGTCAGCAACTAGTTTCTAAAAGCCTGATAAACTAATCATGCCCCGAAAAACCAGGCTTCTCTCCCCACGGGAACAGGATTCAGTGGACTTCTATTCGGACTTTTTAGCCATAAGCAGCCTCCAGGTTCTGAGTTCCATCCTGCAGTCTACAAGGCTAACAGAGGCAAGGCCCCTGCCCACAATCCCCAGTCTCTTTCCCTTGCAGGTGAGTTTTGTTCTGACATCATTCCAGGCCTCTTACAAACCTAGTTTTCATTTGAAGACTTCCCGGGACAAAATGTAAACATTTAAACGCCTGTTATTTTAACGTAACCATCTTCAGAACCATCTTCAAAAGTAAACTTGAGCCCTCGATTGTGAGAAGGGTGGGAAGGGAAAAGAGTGACAAATCCCACAATCTCCGGGAAGCCATTGTTGACAAACTGGAAATGAGGAGTTGATTTCTTTGCAACAGGCCTCTCAGCAAGCGTCTCTCCTGCGTCTTCAACCAGCACATGAGAAATAAAGTCTAGCATGTGAACATTTAGCCATTGTCTTAGCATGGAAATTCTAAGATCGTCATGGGGTTTTTTAAACTAGCCCGTTATTAACATTGCCACCAGCATATTCTGTGACCCTTTTCCTTTTTCCAAAGTGAAATTTAAGAGGTAGCAATGACCTCTTTTTTTATTCATGTGTAGGATACTTACAGGTGTTACTTAGAGAGATCAATTTTAAAAAATACTGAAGAGATTTTAAAGATAGCAAAGCATCTCTTCGTTATAGGTATATATTTTCTTTCTAAAGCCAAAAAGGTTAGTGGAAAACCTTTGAGAAGATCTTAGATGTCATGGCCTAGTCCCTGAAAGAAAATAAAGAGTGCAATTCACATACATGAAATATTTTATATATGATTTCAAGGAGGTAAAAGACTTCTTCAACCACATATGGACCTGACTTTTCAAGAGCTCCAAATCCCAAGACCAAGATCTGGCTTTGGGGAAAGTACTACCTATTCACAGGGACCCGCTAGGTTGAACTGCCCCTGTGGATTTCTGGGACTGCAACTCTTTTTTAATTTTTTTTATTTTTTAATCAAAAGATCATTTTATTGGGGGCTCTTACAGCTCTTATACCAATCCGTGCATCAATTGTATCAAGCAGAGTTGTACATATGTTGCCTTCATTATTTTCGAAACCTAACCCCAGCTGTCACCCAAAACATAACCATAACCTCAACCCTAGGCCTAAACCTTAACCCTCAGCCTAACCCTACCATTAAACCTAGACCCAAACCTAAACCTAACATGGAACCTACCCCTACCCCTAACCAGAACCCTAACCCTAACCCTAAACCTGAACCTAAACCTAGGCCTAACCATAACCATAACACCGATTCAAACCCTAAAACTAACCCTAGGCTGAACCCTAACCCTAACCCTAACCCTAAGCCTAATCCTAAGCCGAAACCTTCTAGTTGAGCCCTTAGTATCAGCTCCTCTTCTTTCCCTCCTTTCCCCCTCACCCTTGTGACCCCTTTGATACATTATAAATTATTATTATTTTCACTGACCGCTGTCTCCCATCCCCCATGAGTTCTGTTGTTCATCCCCCTGGAGGAGGGGGTGGTGGTGGTTATGTATCCGTCAGTGCAATCAGTTCCCTCTTCTACCCTCCTCTACCCTCCTTCCCCCTACCCTCCTAGTATCACTACTCGCTACTCCCATTCCTGTTCCTGGATTCCATGTGTCATGAGCTCTTACCTCTTATCTGTACCTAGGCACATGCTCTGGTCTAGCCCACAGTGAAAGGCAGGCCTGGGGTTATGATAGTGGGGGGTTAAGAGGAAGCCACAAGGAACCAGAGGAATGTTGTGTTTCATCCGTGCTACACTGAGCCCTGGCTAATTCATCCCTTCCTTCTGACCCTTCTGTGATGGGATGTCCCATTGTCTACAGATGGGTTTGGGTCTCTGCTCCAATCCCCCTCATTCTCAACAATAAGGGCTGTTTGTTTGTTTGTGGTGTTCTGATGCCTGTTACCCAATCCCATTGACACCGTGTGATTACACAGGCTGGTGTGCTTCTTCCGTGTAGGCTGGTAGCTTTTCTGCTAGACACCTGTTTGTTTAACTTGAAGCCTTTAAGATCCCAGATGCTATATCTTTTGATAGCCAGGCACCATCAGCTTTTGTCACCCCAGTTGCTTATGCATTTATTTTGTCTTCAGCGATTGTGCCAGGAGGGTGAGCATCACGGAATGCCAGCTTTTTAGAAGAAAGTTTTCTTGCATTGAGGGAGGGCAGGAGCAGAGACCTGAAGTCTGTCTGCTACCTCAGTGAATTGCCTTACAAATATCT